ATATCAAAAACAATGCAAATTAAGGCCAGACAGCCCAACTCCTGCGAACAGCCCTTTATTACACATTCGAAGCATCCCTCGAGGCATCAAAGTACATGCAGGCACATGAAATTGCATACGAGTATGTGACATATAAGCCCATCATTGCACAACTTTTTCTGCAACAATGCAAATACAATCAAGCTGGAAACGGATTTTATCAGTATTTTGATATATACATTATGGCTCATGTCTAAAGACACCTGCACTTTCATATTGAAATTGTTCTAATATCATCCAAACAAAACACATCAGAAAACTGTAACATCAGCCAAATGAGCAAATCACTTTTTTAACACAATTTATGGTAAAATGAAGCAACATGTAATTGTATCTGAAACAAAACCAAATCACATATTATTCAAAAGTTGTAAACACAGTTGCATATATATAACAAAATATAGTCGCATTTCTAGTGGTAACTAAAATATAAAATTAACGCTATACGAAGCCAATGAAGGCACATCATTTTTGCCATAAATACTCGGCCAGAGCCTTAGAGGTGTGTTCTAGTAGACAATTAATCTTCTCTCACAGTTTAAAACAAACAATAATACTAACCTTCGATAAATTGTGTATAAATCTTATCGAATTTAACCATTTTGCCACAGATTTTGCCGAAAATATTTCTTAGACGGACAAAGTATTAATAATGGACACTCCTTGCGTGAAAATGTTAATTTATCCCAAAGTTTGAATAAATTAATCCGAGATTGCATTATTTGCATAATGATATACTTGTCATTGACCAATCAGAATCCATAGAAGACCGGCCGGTGCCAGGGTCTTTTCCCGCCTTCCCAGTGACAAAAAGGGAAAAGCCCTGGGAACGAGGTTGCCTGCTCAGGCGTTCACACTGACCTCGGTTGGCAAAATACACAAAATGTGGTTTGGGCCCAATAAAAGTGAGCCCAAACCACATAATTAATCAATTCCCTAAAAACATGGTTCACATGCAGCAACTCAGACTTTTGAATGTGCAGTAGCGCTAATTCATACTAACTATATTATGAATAATTTAACCCCCCCCCCCCGAGAAGAATGACTAATGTGCACAAGTGAACCAAACAGAAACAAAATGATTATGAACAGACGTCCGCTTGGGCGTTTGCAATTTGCTTCATCGCACGATAAAGCAGGAATGCAGGATTGCAACCTATATATCCCGTAACCGCTTGTAGATTATGTTGTAAAGGATATTCAGTTGCATGCAAACCAGAATTTCGCAAAATATAAATTTGGTTGCTAGAGGTAAAATTATCAGTTTCTCGAAACAAAGAAATAGCGAGAAGCTCGATAATCTTACGCTCTGATGAGTCCACGAAGCCTAGGACTAATATAAACGCCCCGTACGGGTATATATATATATATATATATATATATATATATATATATATATATATATATATATATATATATATATATATATATAAATTATACACAGAGTTGCAAAAAAGCTGCGGGCATGCGGGCATTACCCGTGAGGAAGGTTTACCACCATAGGCGAGGTCAGTGAGGAAGGTTTAGTGGTCAACAGTCGCTAACACCGAAAAAGTGAAACAAATAAATCATAGTTGAATAGGCAGTTGAGGCTGACAAGTTGTGGTGGTACTATTAATATGGTGGTATTATTGTGATATATTACCTATAATACAGATCGACAAAATATATCGAGATCCTATAATCGAAATAATTGTTTACATACCTGATACCTACACCGTCAATTCCCACAAACTATAAGATAACCATAAGTATATGGCGGGATTTGTAGCGTCTGTTATAGAGATTATATTGCCATTGCCATTGATTTTCAACCATTCTAAACATTGCCATTGATTATAAACCGCCATGCAGGGCACTATACTACATGGTTTAAATTTAGCACTTTGCTTCGGAAACAAGTGACAGCATTCGCTGCCTCGCTGACTGTGTAATTGGGCGATTGGGTCACACGTCTAAAGACCTAATGCACCTATCATTGTTTTCTCCCTGAGGGGGGGGGGGGGGGTTGCGAGCGACCCAGGTGACTTTGACCACACTATGAAGCCCAAGCGAGGGGAATTTGACCTATGCATCAACTCCCAGAGTCGGGAAATTTTGACATCCGCCATCTTGAAAGTTTGCTCGGTTTTGACCACTAAAAGGACTGGTAACAAGTATGGCGGAGAAGCAAGATCAAGTTTCATCGAAAAAGGTATTTTATACACAGTGTCTCAATTTTTACCAAGTTTAAACTAGTATAGATTGTATGTTCGCATTGGAAAACATACGAGTGCCTTGTTATCTTAGGAATATAGTGGGGAATTTTGACAGCCGTTCCTTGCCCGACAGTGGGGATTTTGACTACAAAATTTTAAAAATGTCCCTGGGTTGCCCGCACCCCCCTCTCAGGGGGAAAACATTGATAGGTGCATAAACACTCTCAAATGCGTTTCAAAACCACAAGTACAGAAACATCAAAATCAAATACCACCTCTGGAATGTTGTTGCCATGGTTTTACTGCTGACCTCTATATAATGTGTGTACAGGCATAAAATCAACAACTTCAGTTGATACCGACAGGAAGGTTGTGACCAAATCATGCATCATATGTATAGGATGTAGATATAGTAGGTAAGGACTGTCCAATTTGTCCAAAGTATAAATCTATTACGGCAAATTATATATTAAAATCATGTACTGCATTTAACGACACGTCTCTTTCAAACTTTATGCTTTCAGAATCAGTTAAGTTTATATACTCTAGTATATTGCTATTTGATGAAGCCATATTTTAGTATTTATTCAATTTATTTTAAGGAAGGTTTGAAAACTTTAAAGTTTACCCGGAGGAAATTTGAACAGGTTTTGAACTCTGATTATACACACATAAACATTTCCTTCTTTTCTTTAGTATATTTCTACACGCCTCCATACATTCCAGACGAAGGGCCTTCGCCCGAAACTTCGAGATTCTCCTTATATTTTTCAGGTAGTTGCATCCCTACCAAAGAAATTTTGTTCGTTCTCTAAAATGTCTGGCCGCATTTTGATATGCCCCACGTTATGATTTTTCAAAACACACACGTTCTACAGACCACACATATCAAAATTTAAACTTTTACGTTCTATAGACTAGCTACACCTTTTCACGTATTATCGGCGTTCACATTTATACAAGAATTTTACTTAGGCCTGTTTCAAATGTCGCATTTTGCATGTGTCGAATTCAATTGTTTGAATTATGTGCATGCAAAATCCGACGTCTGAAACGATTAAATGCGACGTTTTTAATTGCGGTCGACCTTAACTTTAAATTCGACCCGACCGGTCGCATAATGTGAGCTAAGTGCAAGCTAAATGCGACCTGTTTCAGACGTCGCATTTTGCATGTGTCGAATTCAATTCTGCTAGGGTGGGGCTCGCGAAAAAAGTTTGGAACGAGGTAAAAGAAGGACGGCATGTAGTGTTAATGGATCAAATTTCGCATGTAGGACATAGAATGGTAATAATTCCATGATTTTTGGGTGTTTGTGTGAAAAATAGTCAATAGCCTGATGTGATCGTCTATATACAAGCGAAAATAAACTCGTGAACAAAAACATTTATACAGGACTACATAGTATTTTTTCGTGCTTTAAATAAGACGAGCCACGTCTTATTTCGCTGGTATAGTCGTATAAATGGTCCTACTGACATACTGTGTTTATTTTTGAGCGAAACTTCGCTCTTGTTTTTTACGTTAAACCACAGCTAGGTTAAAAAAGAAATGTCAATCTATTAATTAAAACTATCAAAGGGGCGTGTCTACACTCGACAACACTTACAATTTCGAATTAAATGCATGCAAAATGCGACGTTTGAATCAAAATCGCTCGAATGAAATGCGAATTGTATTCGACACACGCAAAATTCGACGTTTGAACCAGGCCTTATTTTATCACACATGGCATAAATTTGATGGATTGTGACCAAAACATGAGGCCATTATATAGAGAATATTACATGGTTGCTTGGAAATGTGGAATTTATTTCTCGTTTTGAAGAGAATATTGCTCACGCCTGACCGTAAATGCTGTTTATTTTATAAACAAATTATTATTATAAACAAACGACAGTTCCTATACTGAAACTCAAAACAAATATGTAAATAGTGACACATTTCAAATAACAATGTTCAGTTAAAAATGCCGTCAATGTCTCTTTAAAAGCATATCAAAGTGCACAAATGTACGTATATAAAACTAGTAAATCAAAACGGAAATTGTGAAGTATAAAGAATCATAAAGTCGTAGCAAACATACTTAGATTCGCAGCCAATTGTTCTGATTGTCACCTTGACTGCTGTCGCTACTTTTCAAAGGAAGAAGACGACGAAACCTTTTGCTTTTTGGACTCTGTGAGACCGTTGTGTGGGACTCCGCTGAATAATTGGAGACAATATGCACATTGAATGTTCCTCCAATTATGTAACTGCCGTGAAACAGCGTTTTGGACGAAGTAGACGGCAGAAGTTTCGTCCTACGTTGAATGGCTTCCATTTCAAGGGTCACAACTTGTTTCAAGTTTGCTGACGAATGTTCTGCAAAATTTGCTGTGTGTGACGAGCTTGAGGACAAAATGGTAGAAATATCTTCTTGCTCTTTTCTCTCTTAGGGTGTTATAGTTATTTACAGACTGCAAGTTCTTGTGGCCTGTAACCTGAATTATTTCAGTTGGCGGAACGTTTTTGTCTTGGAGTATTTGTACCATGAGTGTCTTTCGAGCACTGTGATTAGTAATGCGTTTGTCAAGACCAATTTCCGCCATCTCTGCACAATCCTTCATCAACGAATTGAGTCTGTTTACTCCCATTGGTTGGGGTTTAAACCATTTAGTTTCCGGCAACGCTAATTTGCTGGCACTGGTGTGGTTAACTGATAGGTAGAATGGAGAATCAATGCTTAATGTCTTTTCGTGCCGTTTCGCCTTGAAAATCTTGTACAAGTAAAGAGGGTTTCTTTCGGGAGAAACTTCAAGGTTTTCACAGGATTGCCTCCAGGTCTTGTCTTTGTTTGTTTTTCAGTGCTGTATTCAAGATATTCTTTACCGCTAGAGTCTGTCTTGAGAGTAATGTCTCCCCACTTTAAATCGCGCTGTTCTTTGCAGCCGCGAAGCTCGAAATGCATACAGTTGTTTAACCAGATGCTGTTAACAAGTGCCTGAGGGCTATTCAAGCCCATTGCACCCTTTTAGTAAAGAGTGTCAATCTCTTGTTGGATTAGGGATGATGCTTCATGAGGTTTATTTCCCTCAGTTCCTTTGCGTTTTAAGTTCTTTCTGTTTCGACTTGAGAGTGTCTCTTGTTCTGGCGAAATGATGTCCTGTTATAACAGATTCACTATGTGGATGTTTCTTGAGATATCGTTCAACTGAAGACAAAAAACCACGAAGAGTAGTCGGCTCAAATTCATCACCGTCCTTTTTGCTTACAGCCAAGAGAAACTTTCTGAGGTAACTATCTTGATATTGCATTGTTTTTTGAGAATCGAAAACAATGAAACTTACAAAGAGTTACAAAGGCAAAGAAAAGAGTTACAAAAAACAGTTACAAAAGCAAAGAAAAGCAAGTGGGAATGGCGAATATAACTTAATTAAAAAATAAAATATGTCAGATGTCACACCACACAAGATATGAAGCCACAATGTGTCCTGCTTAGATTTTGACATCTGAACCAAGCAATACAATATTTTGAAATCACCAATTGCGTGCGCAAGACACACTGGGAAGGCGCATCTAATATAGGAAGAGTATCCGCTGAATGTTTTGTTTAAGGGCGCGGGTCAATGATGCGTCCGACTCATAGATATAGGAGATCTAGATGGCTAACGCATACCTAGCGCAGGCGGGGCCTACATGATAAATCCAAGATGGCGGTACAACAGGGCAAAAAGACTATAGATTCTATTACGAAAATCAGGATTTTTGCATTTTTTGCCGTCGCATTGTTTCGAAACTTATTCGGTCAAATTTTATGGTAAAGAGAAACTTACCGCGAAGATTTTGAGCATATATATGATTAAATTGGATGAAAAATCGCAAAATTATCCAGCGATAAAAGTTCGTGTGAAATGGTCAGTTGGTCAGCGTTTTATTGCCAGAAATACTGTGCTATGTTAACATCTAGCCTTGTGAATGGTGTTTTATACTTGCATCTCTCATCATCATCTGCTCTGTCCTCATAATTATGAAAAATGAACTGTTATGTACCCTCCTTGCTTGTTAGAGAAGTAAACTGATGAGAGCACTGGATGAGGGTCTATTATCTATGGTCTGTTATAATTTGCTTTTTATGCAAATAGTGAGCAAAAATTAAAGCAAAACTGTACAAGTTACTTGTATAGTACTATATCAGTACTATACACGAACTTTTATCGCTGGATAATTTTGCGAGTTTTCATCCAATTCAATCATATTATATGCTCAAAATCTTCGCGGTAAGTTTCTCTTTACCATAAAATTTGACCGAATAAGTTTCAAAACAATGCGACGGCAAAAAATGCAAAAATCCTGATTTTCGTAATAGAATTTATAGTCTTTTTGCCCTGTTGTACCGCCATCTTGGATTTATCATGTAGGCCCCGCCTGCGCTAGGTATGCGTTAGCAATCTAGATCTCCTATATCTATGGTCCGACTATCAATGAGGAGTCCGACTGTCTACGGATAAAAAACTGTAATACTCATGGATCTTCTAGCCATGTCGCTAAAAAATGTTTTGGCAAAAAACTTTTTGTAAGCCAAAAAGACAAAATTGAAAAACTATAAAACATGTGTGGCATTGCGTTTCACAACAAGTTTTCTGATTGGTCAAACATATTTCCTACGCGCTTTTTGATTGGCTTGCAAAGATGATATTTTCACACGTAAAAATATGGTATTTTTTGCGTGTGTTTAAATACGATTTTTCTCAGTGACCGAAACCTCTATATAACACTTATGTTTAAATAATAAAGTATCATATTTCACACTACAGTTTTAACTAATTTTATTGATATGGCACCAATATGGTTCTCATTACCTCTATCAAAACTTAAAAATTATAGTACGTACTTATCTATTAATACTACGTTTTGTAGACAGTAAGTTTTAACCTTTTACCTTGAACTTGTTTTGTTTATATTCAGTATATTATAATTCACGATTTAACGGGAATTCAACGATCCAAATTTCTGATTATCAGAGTCGTGCACTAAGAAAAAGGCATTAATTAAACTAGCAAGAAAGTCCAGAGCTGGACACAATGCAAAATCCATAGAGAACAGGTACAATTCGTTGAAAATTTTAACGAAATTGTTTGAAACATTTCGCCCACTTCACGAATGACCGCCATTTTGAAAACTGAGCCTGCGGTGCCTCGATGGTTTGTCGAGTTTTCGTCTACGAAAATACTACAAAGACACAACTGTCCATTTTAATACAAATTTGAATATTTTAGTCAAATATTTCGTACGCCTAACCGTTGGGCTGCCCATTAATAATATTATTATCAGTTATTGATTCACTGGAGTTTTCTGAGTTTATGACAGTGTAATTATTTCTAGAATCAAGCAATGCGTCGAAATCACGCACAACCATTTGGTAACTTTGCATCACGAACTTGGACACGTACAATACTTTTTGCAATACTGGGATTTGCCAATTGTTTATCGTGCTGGCGCCAATCCAGGATTCCACGAGGCTGTAGGAGACTTGATGTCACTTTCAGTTGATACACCCACGCATTTACAAAGACTTGGATTGTTAAAAGACTACAAAAGTGACGATGGTAGGCTACAATGTAGATTTCAGTTTATCTTAATTTAACTTCAAGAATTCATCTAGTTGTTTCGTAGTAAGCGAGATATTGATGTATAGTTTAGTCTCAGAGAATTCCTATAGCTAGAGAAAATCCTGGCCTAAACGTTCGTTCCATATAAGAGTATGAATTTTGGAGAAAAAAAAACACATAAAAGAAGAAGGAAGAAATTTTAATGGAAGAAATGAGGGGACGAATAACTGCTATAATTATATAAAGCAAGTGTTATTTAAGAAAGCCAAATTATATACATATTAGAGCGATAAAGAAAATGAAAGGAGAAAAAGGATCAGGAAAAATGAACAATGCATCAAAAAGAGCTAGCTCCCAACATACCGAGATAAAAAACTCTTTTAATTTAAGTAAAAAGTAACCAAACAGAATACTCAAAAGCTTCAAGACATGAAAAAGATAAATTAATACTAACCCTATATTTACCACTTGCCTGCTATGGATCATCCTTGTTACTTTAAGGGGCTTCGGTGGCCAAGTCGTTAGCGCACATGCCTTTCACCTCTGAGGCTGCAGGTTTGAGTCTCACTAAGTACCTTCTCAGTGCGACTCGAACCCAGTCCCCATGTGGAAAGAGTAAAAGTCAACGCTCTGCCGAAAGCCGTGGGTTTTCCCCGGGTACTCCGGTTTCCTCCCACAGGGAAAGTTGACAGGGTGGGTTAGGTAAAAAGGGCCCACAGTAATTGGCATATGCTGTTGTGGTGACCCTGCCCTGGTTGGCAAAGCTAAATAAATAAATAAATAAAAAACTACCCTAGGTAAAATTATACATATTGATGAAATTTTAGAGGCAGATATTAATGCACTGATGAAGATGGCAATGAGAAAAATAGCATTCCTACCATTCGGCTATCTCATTGACCAATGGCGGTGGAATGTATTCAATGGTAAAATCAAAGAAACACAGTACAATTCAAAGTGGTGGGAATTGAGAAGTAAATATCAAGGTATTAAACCACCTGTACCGAGAAGTGAGAACGACTTCGATCCTGGTGCCAAATTTCATATCCCAGATGATACACCTTACATCAGGTTTGTAAGATCAAAATGCTTCAATGTATTACTCAACAACAGAATATACGGGAACATGAATTCATAATTTTTCCCGCCACTGACGCAGTCAAACATCCTGCTGATTTTAATGTTGCAATTGTATATGAAGTTAGAGCCGTAGAGACCTTTTTCCTTTTAATTTAATTAATATTTTAAATTTCCCATATATGGTAAGCAGAAGAAGAAGTATGAACCAAAAATCCTACGACACAGACTTTACTTTTAGAATTGCGCAAAAATGTTTTATACTTATCTATGACAGTTCCGGTTGTTCAGATAATCACAAACAGGTGAAGCAACAGCGTAAACATTTGCAACAAAGAAATCCTAACAACGCACTGTAAATATCCGTTACAACAATGAAAAATTGTACAATCTGTGTTAGTTTGAAGAAAGCCAGAATAGTTCTTTAGAAATAAAATAATCCGTTAATTATTTTCTCGTTTTCTTAATAGATATTTTATCAGTAATATCCTTCAGTTCCAGTTTCACAAAGCCGCATGTGAAGCAGCGAATTTCGAAGGTCCTCTTTTCAAGTGCTCAATATATAATTCTACAGCCGCTGGAGAGAAGATTGCGTAAGTCTATTCATAAATTTTAACGATTTGTTGTTTTAAATATTCTATTTGCAATAGATACTTAATGTTCAATCAGGTGGATTCATCTTGCCCGGCCCCCATGATGGAAACCAGTTTTAGCACCACAGGTAGAACGGGTGAGGATACGTCCGCTCCATTCCCAATCTGTTCATGTGGTTAAATACATTTAAACAAGGTTAACGGCGGATGTATTATGCATGTTACATCTGTTGAGGGGAGTCCGTGACGTTATATCGATCAAAGTGGGTTTTTTGCGCCTTGTGACCAGTGCTTCGGTCTGGGTATTCATTCTACCATTGTATGCTTTGCCTAGTTGCAGGAAGTTTAGCGCTTCGATACCTTTTTCCCATCCATCCACCAACCCAAACCCACCCACCTACCCACCCACCCATGTTTATTCTAGAGGATTCTATCTTCATTTTATGTTATATAATTTTTAATTTCACATGAAATAGAATGTATAGACCACTATACATTGTATTTCGTTCTTACTGACTTGTCAGTGTGCTGGTGCCGGAGATATGCCTTGGCAGAATTGTCATGACTATCTCCTTTTGCTGCAAATATTACTACTTGTTTCTCTCATTGTGGCTGCGCAGCTGCTATGGCAATACTTCTTGCCATCAAGGCTAGTTGCAGCCTTAGACCACAAACGGCACCTACCTCCAAACACGATTACTCTGCCGTTAAAAGATGGAATTTCTAATCCATCCAATAGTTTTGGTGAGTACTGCACATCATAAATATTTGGTCACGTCGGCAATTTCGTGCGCGATTTCAAACTCCGTTTTGGGCATAAAACGCACTCCAAGCACTCCAAGTATGTTGTATTTGATATCAAAATGATCACCTCGATTGGTAGTTTTAAAGGCCAAAAACGGGGATAGGAAAACACAGTAATCCTACCAGTGGTTAAAACCATAGACATTTTACTTCATGTTCTTCTGCTGATTGCGCAAATTATAGTTTTAGATTACAAAGTGTCATATGTATTCATAAAGCCGTATTGTTGAGCATTTTAAAAAGTTTTGATCAAGAAATACTGTATAAAGTTTCTCTTTGCCATGCACGAAATGGCTAGGCTTGTTCCAAGTTTCGCTCGAGTTTGTATAATCGCGTGTATGTAAATTCGCGAGACGTTCCGCTTTGTGAAGTGCTTGAGACCGTAATTGTTAGCGATGTATTTATTATAAGGTAGTCAACCCCTCTATACCAATTTTTTCAATATCATTTTCTGAAAGGTTTGAGTGGAAGAAAATACCCAATGTAAATTTTTTTTTCGCAAAGTTGTTAATTAGCCTAATTATCCAATATGGCAAACCTTAATTAACCCATAATTGCTTAGCAGCGTAAACATCATAACTGACAACCAGTTATCAGAATCTAATAAATAATATATTTTCAAGAAGCTTAGAACCAAGGCTAGTTCCTGACAATCTTCAATTTTCCATACAACTTTAAAAAATTGATTTTTTGACTTATTTCAATTTCTAGCCAGCTATTTTAGGCAGTCAGTTGTGAATAACTCGCTAAATATAAGAAGGATTAAAATTTGAAGAGTGTCAGGAATTAGATGGTTTTACAATTAGTAACTATGTAATTAGTAAGTAAGTAATTTTCAACCTTATACAATAAATATTTACAAAATTAAAGTTTCACAAAGATTGCGGACTTGTGTCTAATCGCGAAATTGAGAAAATCCATTCAAAGTTGTGTTTTATGTTTCTTGTGCCTTATGAAGGCTTATAAGCCTCCTGCTTCACAAGTTACACTTCATCGCATTAAGCATTGTCAATATACTTCTTTCTGAGGTGTCTCAACGTTTTTCTCTTCATCTTTACCTTATCTGTGCTCTTTTTGGGCGAGAGCTTGATTCTTACATTGTCGCAGTCGTCAGCACCCTTGCATGTAAATAAACCGGGTGATATATCCAGATCCTCAAAGATTTTGGGGAATGAAATATTACCATCATTGAACTTAAGTACAGCTAAGTATGTGGCTAGAGCTACTGTTTCCTGCTCGACATAAGTAGTTTTTGGACATCTGTTCCAATTTGCCCGTTTAAACATTCATTCGTATTTTGTGTCAATCCGTGTGTACATTTATTCAGAAACTCTGGCTTAGAAAGATCTTCAAAAACAGGATCAATCAAATCAACAATGGGTTGTGGAATGTCATTCTTATGTGTATATGTTTCACTGTCAACTTGATAACCACACCAACTATCATTTTCTTTGGGGCAAAGATGATGCTGTGGGTTTCAATCTGTGGAAGCAACATGCAAAAGAGATGTGTGAATAGCATTGACGACCATTTCATTAACATCGTCCAAATTTTCACTTATTGCCAATCCATAGTAGTTTTGCAGGACATCAATTTTTCCATCAGCAAGTCTACCTTTATCGGACAAGCCTTTTCCATCAGAAAGTTTCCTACCTTTATTAGAATTCTTGAGTCGTCGCAACCTACTTCTAACTCGTTTTGGACATGGCCAATGCACTCTAGCTTGCTAGGTATGCGATCCTCTCCATATGGCTTACTTTCAACAACAGCACTACCTATGAGTGGAGGATGTTGATTTTATGAAGAAATACCGGCCAAAATACAGCAGAAATAATATAAATTTGTTTTTTAAACGACAGAACAAAAACGTGAACGTATACATGCGCCTGCAATACAGGGTGTATAAAGACAATTTTGAAATTGCTCTCAATTCCACAATTCTGTTCATGAAATGTAATTTTTGCTATATATGGATTGCTTGAGTTCTTAAATTATTGAAAATAGTAAATTTTGCTATCCAGGTGGGTGGCCAACTTTTGCTCCCCTAAAAGTGGCTTGCGCACGGAAATGACGAACGGTATTCTTTATTTGAGTTCATGTATGAAAAGTTCGCTATTTGTTGCATTCATGATAAAATTTCGGCAGGATTTTACCGAGTACAAATCCTCCGAAAAGCCAAAGTTTCACAAACGAATATCCAGATGTACGATGCCCTTCACGTATTCGCACGTGAAGGGCATCTTACATCTGGATATTCTTTCGTGAAACTTTGGCGAATCAAGTTTATGTTGTTGCTACGGAGGAACTCTGATGCCATAAAAGCTCTCTGCTTCGGGGTAAATTGTGGCATCGCCATTTCAAAGTGTACGAGGTATTATACGAGAAAATGCGTTTCAGCGCAAACAACTCGAAAGCACAATGGGAGTAAAAATGAATTCATAATGAAGCAAGAACAGCACCAACGGAGAAAAGTGTAACGTTTTCATAGGCTTTTCGGAGGATTTGTACTCGGTAAAATCCTGCCGAAGTTTTATCATAAATGCAACAAATAGCGAACTTTTCATACATGAACTCAAATGAAGAATACCGGTTGTCATTTCCGCGCGCAAGCCACTTTTAGGGGAGCAAAAGTTGACCACCCACCTGGATAGCAAAATTTACTATTTTCAATTTTTTTTGTATTTTCCATAATTTAAGAACTCAAGCAATCCATACATATCAAAAATTACATTTCATGAACAGAATTGTGGAATTGAGAGCAATTTCAAAATTGTCTTACTTTTTTGATACGCCCTGTATTAGCGTCCGTATTGACTAGTCAGTACTTTATATAAGCAGTACACGTAATGTTTGAGTGTCTATAAAATCTATTTCCAACGCTCCCACTCACTCAGCATGTTACTGTACTATGATAAGTCCAAGTCTTGCTCGAAGATTTTCAAACTGTCCTCGCGGTAAAGCCTTCGTGAAAATATCCGCGACCATTTTATGTGTAGGACAATACTTTAGTTCGATTGTTCTATCTTGAATTTTCTCTCGAACAAAGTGAAATTTAATATCTATATGCTTTGTGCGCTTGTGTAAAACAGGATTTTTTGACATTGCGATTCTCCCTTGATTGTCCTCGTTAATAGTGGTTGGACTCGAACAATTTATTTGAAAATCCTTGCTTAGTTGTCGTAACCATACACTTTCTTGAGCTGCCAAGCAAAGGGCGATATATTCGGCTTCAGCTGTTGAAAGTGCTACCGTAGGTTGCTTCTGGCTTGCCCAACTAACGGCACCATTGGACATTACAAATACGTTGCCAGAAGTAGATCTTCGATCATATGAATCTGCTGCCCAATCTGCGTCGGAATATCCTTCCATATCTTTATCACTTACTTCGTACTGGAGATGCAGTTTAACTGTTCCCTTCAGGTAGCGAAATATACGTTTGACAGCAGTAAGATGTGCTTCATTAGGGGACGAGTTAAATTTTGCTAAAGTACCAACTGCGTGAGCTATGTCGGGTCGAGTAGTTATAGCTGCATAAATGAAGCTTCCAACCATCGATTGGTACTCAACAGGATCTACTGCTTTGCTGTAACCATCATCTTTCACCAGCTTCACATTCATATCCATCGGCGTCGATACAGGTTTACAATCTTGTAATTTGTACTTGTGCAATATCTTGTGAATTATATTTTATTTTACAATCTTTGTCACATGACCGGTTTAACCCACAGAGCTAGTTGCTCCTTTACGGGTAACCTGCTAATGCAATACTGAAATATAGGTTAACACAGTGGATATATCGCTTCAAAATCGCTAATCACTGAGACGTTGGATTTAATGTGGTCCTGAGCAATTCTAATCATGTGGATCGAAAAAAGGAATTTAATTTAAATTTCACATGCTCTCTAACAAAGTGATATTTCCACTGGGTTAACAGCATCTAATGACAACACAGTTTGACAGATAGACTGGACAAGGGACGACACAAATGACACTTTACACGCACTGTTTTAAACGTTTGTGGAACATCAATGTCGTAGACCTCTTCAACAAGTTTTTGGTAATATTTAAATAGGCCGCATTTAAATTGACTGATTGAGAGATTTGACTGCCGTAAGTGTGATGGTAAATAGTTAAAAGTCCTGGGTGATCTGCAGTAATAACTGTTCTGAAATGTTAAAGTGTTTACTCTAGGAACTTGTAATATAATGTTTGCTGTTCCATCATTTTCTCTCGTCAACCGATCTGTTGTCTTTACATGGATATTATGGTCATTAGATATAACTAACGCTTTGTAAAGGTAGACCATATCCAGGAATTCATGCTAGTATGTTAATGATAGTAAACCACTTTTGACAAGTCTATCTTTGTATGATACTCCTGACAAGAATGGCAGTGATAAAATGTATCTGGCAGTGATAAGATGAATATACTGCTCTTGGCTCATTTGCAAAACACCGTCCATCGTTTTAATGTTTACTCCAAGACAGTAATGAAGCTTACCCATATCTTTCATCTTGAAACGAGCTGCGAGACTGGCCTTCAAGTCGATCATTTCTTGCTCGGTTTCGGTTAATAGTATGAGATCGTCAACGTGTACAGCAACTATAGCAAGTTGATCATTGACTTTTCGAATGAAGACACACGGATCAGCAGCACTTTGCTCAAATCCTTGGGATATCATGAATTCCTTGAACGACTTGTTCCAACATCGTGGACTCTGCTTCAATCCATAGAGAGATTTCTTTAGGTGGCACACAAGATTTTCTTTTCCAGGAACAACATAACCTTCTGGCTGCTCCATATAGATATCTTCGTCAAGTGTTCCATTTAGGAAAGCGGTAACGACATCCATTTGATGGATAAACACATTTCTGGAAACAGCAAACGCCAAAAGAGCTCGGATAGATGTAAAGCGAATGACAGGTGAAAATGTTTTATCAAATTCGATCCCGTACTTTTGTAGATAACCTTTCGCTACAAGACGTCCTTTAAACCGATCGATTTTCCCATTTTCATCATGTTTGACTTTAAATACCCATCTGCAGGTAATTGCCTTTCGTCCGGGTGGCAGTTCGACAAGCTCCCCGGTCTCATTTTCCATTAGAGATTGATATTCAGAATCTGCAGCTGTCTTCCAGCTTTCCGCATGATTACTTTCGAGAGCTTTCTTCAACGTTGTTGGCTCTTCAAGTTCTGTTACAAAGAGGGCTGTATGCTTAATGTTGTGATACCAACGTATTCATCATGATAATAAACTGGTGGCTTTCTTTTTCGCGCTGAACATCTACTATCAGGCGATTTCTTATCTGATTCTTCTTTAGAGCACTCATCATCCTCTTCCTCAACCTCGAATTGTACTCTGTTGGTATGTCCGAAGTCACTTTCATTGAAAGTAACATCTCGACGGATAAATATTTTACGTTTGTTCTCATCGTACAATCGATACCCCTTCTGTGTCAAACTATAGCCAACGAATCGCATCTTCACTGCTTTCTGGCCAAGCTTCTGACGTGAAGAATCTGGCATATGGACATAGGCAGTGCAAGCAAAACACGAAAATTTGAAACATCCGGTTTCTTACCGTACCATCGCTCATATGGGGTGACTCCAGTTACTGTTGTGATAACTCGGTTCCTTATGTACGCTGCTGAACAAACTGCTTCAGCCCAGAAACTCTTGGATACTCCTGCATTTACGATCATTGATAAAGCAGCTTCCTGGAGCGTCCTGTTCATCCGTTAGGCGATACCATTCTGTTGTGGTGAGTGGGGTACAGATGTCTCGTGATGAATACTTTTCTCTTTGAGGAGGTTTTGGAATTCAGCAGACATATATTCACTTCCATTGTCTGTCCGTAAAGTTTTAATTTTGCAATCTGCTTGATTTGTTACTACTGCTTCCCATTCTTTAAACTTATCCAACACTTCCGATTTGTGTGTAATGGGATAGACGGTTACACATCTAGAATAATCGTCAATGAATGTCACAAAGTACCTGGCACCACCAAAACTTTCGGTTTTCATTGGTCCAGTGACATCACCGTGAACAAGCTGTAATCGTTTCTTTGATTGTACTTCTCCCACTGGTTTGAAGGGTGCTCGATGTGATTTTCCTTCGGCACAGGCTTCACAGAAGTCCAGCTTCCCGGTTCTAGGCATATCGGTACCTGTTACCATCTCTCTTGAAACCATCGTCTTCATTTGGCCAGCGTTCAAATGAGCCATCCTTTGATGCCACAGATTTAGTTTGTCACTTGATCTTTGTGCAACGGACACTTGTTTTTCTTGTCTTTCTACTCTGCAGTCCAGACGATACATGTTGCCAACAAGACGGCCTCTCGCTACAACCTTTCCTTGAGAGTCCTTGATCCAGCAAAATGTATGTCCAAATGCCCCACTTTTTCTTTCATAGCTGCCGCCCGAGCACTAAATAGATTTGCGGCTAACTTGGGAACATACAGTACTTTAGTCATAGTTGATTTTCGTTCATCTTTCTCTCTAGGACAAAGCAGCATAGTAATGGCTATTTCACCAGTCCCCAAAGCATGCACAGATCGACCATCTCCAAGAACAACTGGTTCTGGCTCCAAAAACTCTTGATAGTTCATCAATAGATCACGACTTGAAGTCATGTGTTGAGATACGCCTGAGTCGATAATCCAGTAGTCATCTCCTTTCATAACACTTAGTCCAACAGCAAAAACATTAGCGCCAGAATCATCATTCTTATCAGTGTCCCCATGAGCAGGAGCTGCATTGTGCTTTGAAGATATGTCAAATTTTCCTTGATTTTCATTTCGTCGATACTGTTTTATTTTTCTTTTCTTTTTCTGAGGACAATTTCGAATAACATGACCTTCTTCTCCACAACCATAACACTTAATAGGCTTTCGATCTAACTTGTTATGTTGCAATGCAGATTCGCAATTCTCAGCTCCACCACCACCACCGACTTTACTCTTACTTTGCTTGCGTTTTTCTTCCTCGTTTAACAATGCTTGATGCAGTTGACTCAGGTTTAGTTCATCTCCTTTGGCAGTTAGTGCGGTTAGTGTTATATGAACGTGGTAGACTTAATAGTAATGCGACTATATGCACATCCTCTGGAATTGGTGCTTTGATAGCGGCCAATTGATCAGTAATCACTTTCATCCTTCGCAAGTGTTCATCAAGAGAATCTGACTCTTTCATTTTTAGGGAGAAAAGTCTTTGCTTCAGAAATAATTTGTTCGCAATCGTATCTCGTTTAAAGCGTTGCTTTAAATTAACTTATCCCATATTTCTTTTGGAGTTTGGCATTCGGTTATAAGGTAACTAAGATCCGATTTAATAGACATAACTATGAGAGCTTTTGTCTTCTTTTGAGCTTTTTCAAACGACGCATTTAGGGTTTAAGTCTGTGTTGTTAAATAACACAACATAACATAACACTTGGAGAACCAGTATGGTTCGATGTTGAATTAATATAAACCAGTATGTTTATGACATTCAGTATATAGTAGCCTAACGTTTATAATTTCCAGTCTTAAACCCGTCTGACCGTGTAGCTCAGCCGGTAGAGCGTCGATCTAGTAATTCGAAGGTCGCGGGTTCAAGATCCAGCCGTGGCAGACATTATCTTTCTGCTTGCGCTGGGTATGGAAATTATGAAATACATGCACTCGAGAACATTTTCTACTTATCATATTACGGAGTGAACAATAACACAACCTAACATTATAATATATATATATATATATATATATATATATATATATATATATATATATATATATATATATATATATATATAAATATATATATACGAGTAGGTTTATGAATACGAAACGCAAAGAGTGCTCAATATCATAAAGATAGAGCAAATTTAGAATTTCACTTACCTCAAAATTCCGCAACAGTCTGTTTCATCAGTAAAGAATCATCAATGATTCTTTACTGATGAAACAGACTGTTGCGGAATTTTGAGGTAAGCGAAATTATATATATATCAAGCAGAAAATTCTACTTGACCGCGGCTGGAATTCGAACCCGCGACCTTCGCATTTCTATAACGATGCTCTATCGTCTGAGCTACAAGGTCAAGCTGAGAACGACTTGTTAAGTTATGATGTTAGTTGCATTTCGGAGGTTAGTCCTTCAATGCGTAGAGCCAGCTATTAGTCTGGCAATGTTGTATGTGAATGTTGTGGTTTCCCACGTTTACGATTCCACTTGTGTAACGTTATGTAGTGGTTTTTTGAGTTGTTTTCAGACGAGTGTATACCAAACCGGGCAAGCAGAAAATTCTACTTGACCGCGGCTGGGATTCGAACCCCCGACCTTCGCATTTCTAGAACGATGCTCTACCGTCTGAGCTACAAGGTCAAGCTGAGAACGACTTGTTAAGTTATGATGTTAACGTTACACGAGTGGAATCGTAAACGTGGGAAACCACAACATTCACATACAACATTGCCAGACTAATAGCTGGCTCTACGCATTGAAGGACTAACCTCCGAAATGCAACTAACATCATAACTTAACAAGTCGTTCTCAGCTTGACCTTGTAGCTCAGAAGGTAGATCATCGTTCTAGAAATGCGCGGGTTCGAATCCCAGCCGCGGTCAAGTAGAATTTTCTGCTTGCCCGGTTTGGTACACACTTGTCTGAAAACAACTCAAAAACCGCTACATAACGTTACACGAGTGGAATCGTAAACGTGGAAAACCACAACATTCACATACAACATTGCCAGACTAATAGCTGGCTATATGCATTGAAGGACTAACCTCCGAAATGCAACTAACATCATAACTTAACAAGTCGTTCTCAGCTTGACCTTGTAGCTCAGAAGGTAGAGCATCATTCTAGAAATGCGAAGGTTGCGGGTTCGAATCCCAGCCGCGGTCAAGTACAATTTTCTGCTTGTGGTTTGGTACACACTCGTCTGAAAACAACTCGAAAACCGC